GTTACCTAAGTATTCATGGCAGTAAACTCTTTTATAATATTCACATAATAGATGTTGCCTTCTGCTTGTCAGAAAGCTAGATCCTATATTGTCTATCTCAACAGATTAAGATTTTCTCTAAGGTAGCTAAAGTTTGTCAACTAGTTTACTATGTTCTTTTAGTATAATTAATGTCATTCTATTTTCAGTGGTATTTCTAAAATAACTAATACTTAAACTTGTTTTGTAATATAAAAACTTAACTGTTAAATAATGTCCCCTGAAACATGATAGTTATATACAGTAAACAGTTCTCTTCTTCCCACACACATAAATATCATAATAAAATTATGTCTTTGAGCTGATATTTAAATAGCATTTATCCTCTACCAGGTCCATGTTTTCAAATCAGTAATTGGCCATTGTAAGAGCTTAGATCATTTTAAAACTGTAATATGAATGTGTTTGAAAATCACATGCTTGGGCTCATTTATGTTCATATATTCCATTTGTATAACAGTACCTTCCACTGTCTTCTCATGTTCTAGAGAGCAGGACTTTTATTCTTTTTTAAACTGCCTAGTATGTAAACAATAAATTAACATATCTACATAAAAAAAAAGTCCTAGCCCTAGCCCTAGTCCTAGCCCTAAGCCCTAAGCCCTAAGCCCTAGCCCTAGCCCTGTGATTGGCAAACTGCGGCTCTCGAGCCACATGCGGCTCTGTGGCCCCTTGAGTGTGGCTTTTCCACAAAATACCACGTGCGGGTGCACACGTACAGTGGGATTGTAACTTCGTGGCCCATTCGCAGAAGTCGGTATTTTGTGGAAGAGCCACACTTAAGGGGCAAAAGAGCCACATGTGGTTCGAGAACCACAGTTTGCCAACCACTGCTAGCCCTAGCCCGAGCCCGAGCCCGAGCCCTAAGTAGAAATAACTAAATTTCTTAGCATTTGCTGGCTGCTTTTGCTTTAGGTCAGTGGTCGGCAAACTGCGGCTCGAAAGCCCATGCGGCTCTTTGGCCCCTTAAGTGTGGCTCTTCCATAAAATACCGACTTCTGTGCATGGGCCACGAAGTTTCAATCGCACTGTACGTGTGCGCCCGCACGTGGTATTTTGTGGAAGAGCCACACTCAAGGGGCCAAAGAGCCGCATGTGGCTCATGAGCCGCAGTTTGCTGACCATGGCTTTAGGGCATAAGATAGTTCATTTCACAGTTTTCCTACTTCAAAGCTTGCTTTCAAACATGTTTTACACATGTTTCTGAGGAAAATACATATTTTCACACAGTGAACCAGTATACACAAATATATACATATCTGAAACAAAATTTTACAAAAGAGTATTGGCTGGCCACAATACATGACTCATGCTAACATTTCCAGTCTATTTCTTTTGTTTTTCATGCCAGTAAAAACCCACTAAATTTATTTCACAATCTAACGGGTCAGGACCCACAGTTGAAAATCTCAGTTCTAGGGTAGATGTAAAATTCTACAAATCCATGAGAACCACCCCTCAAAAGAAATAAGTTAGGTTACTCTTACCTTAAACTTTCGAAGACAGAGCAAGGAGAAAAAACTGTACTTACTCGGTAAGCAGCCCAGGTTTCAATCTCATGGATTTGTAGAATTTTACAT